TTTTTTTTGCCCATGGCCGCAGTGTAATAGGTGGTTCGGGCATCAACCAGAAAAAAAAAAAAAAAAAACAACTGGCCGACACCCCGTCCACGTCTGGTCTCTGGATAAAAATTCGACGCGCCGGGCCTTTTCCCTCCTTCTCTTTCCCTTCTCTCCCCCTTGCCCCTCCTTCCCTCTTGTCTTTTTGTTCTTTGCGCGCAAGCCGTGAAGACGTCGAGACATCAACAACTTCAAGATGGATAAAGGAAACTTGGTCCAGCTGCTCCAAGCGAGCCAGATTCGTAAGTTGTTCTCTCCCCCGTCGCTCGCCCTGTGCCACCCTGGCCGCCAAACCTAGTCGAGCCAGCCTCTTCAATTTTTTCCGCTCCCTGCCTGCTTTCGCTTCGTGTCTCTCGCCTATTTAAAATTTGCTTTTTCTGCACCCTACAAAATCCTTCGCGAGATTTGTCTTGCTGACTTTTTTTCTTCCTCACAGCCGACACCGAGAAGGTCAAGGCAGTCACGGCCGAGCTGCAGAAGAACTACTACTCCCAGCCCGAGTCCCTCCTCCTCTTGATTGAGGTCACCATCTCCCACGAAGATGCCGGCATCCGACAGCTCGCCTCGGTGCAGGCTCTGCGCCTGACCCCCAGGCACTGGGCCAAGCTCCCTTCTGACAAGAAGGAGCTTGCCAAGAAGCACCTCACCGAGAGCATCCTGAACGACCAGTCCTCTACCTCCCGCCACTCCAAGTCGCGTCTCCTCGCCGGTGCCGTCGGCGTTGACCTTGAGGATGGCGAGGGCCAGGACTTCGTTCGCGAGCTCCTCGCCCTGAACACCTCCGACAACGTCGCCCACCGCGAGATTGGCTCCTTCATCCTTGTCTGCCTGCTCGAGAACGACCCTCTCCCCTTCGTTGAGCAGGTCAAGGCTCTGCTCAGCTTGATCGCCAAGACCATTGTCGACCCTGCCAGCATTGAGGTCCGCCTGAACTCGGCCAAGGCTGTCAGCGCTCTGTTGGCGCTCGTCGACGTCGAGGAGGACAACACCGAGTGCGTTGAGATCATCCAGACCATGATCCAGCCCACCGTTGAGATCCTCAAGAACGCCATCGACCAGGGCAACGATGACCAGTACAACGACATCTTCGAGGTCCTCCAGAACTTCATGACCTACGACTCTGCGTACCTTGCCAACCACTTCAAGGACCTCATCCAGTTCATGATCGAGCTCGGTGTCAACACCGAGGTTGAGGACGATGCCCGTTCCCAGGCTCTCGTTTTCCTCGCTCAGAGCGCCAGGTACCGCCGCCTCAAGATCCAGGGCATGAAGGACATGGGCGCCCTGCTCATGGTCAAGAGCATGCAGATCGTTGCCGAGATCGACAACGACGCCGACGAGGATGACAGCTCTCCCGCTAGAACCGCTCTGAGCCTCATCGACCAGCTGGCCAGCGACCTTCCTCCCCGCCAGGTCATCGTTCCCCTGCTTGAGCAGTTCCCTACCTTCGCCCAGAGCCCCCAGCCCGGTCTGCGCAAGTCTGCTATCCTCTCTCTCGGTACTGCCGCTGAGGGTGCTCCCGACTTCATCGCTACCCAGCTCCAGCCTTTGATGCCCCAGATCATCCAGCTCTTGAACGACCAGGACAGCTCTGTTCGCCACGCCGCTCTCGTCGGTGTCATCCACCTTGCCGACGAGATGGCCGAGGAGCTCGCTCCTCAGCACGAGGCTCTCATCAGCGCTCTCCTCACCAACCTCGAGGCTGCCTCTGCTGGCTCTGACAAGCAGAGCATCAGCATCATCCGTGCCGCCTGCGGTGCTCTCGACTCCCTCATTGGCGAGGGTCTCGACGACCAGCTCATCAAGACCTTCGGCCCCAAGCTGATCGTCCCCATGGGCAAGCTGCTCGGCCACGACGACTTCAGCGTCAAGTCCGCTGCTGCCGGTGCCATTGGTGCCATCGCCTCTGCTCTCGGCGGCGAGGAGTTCAAGCCCTACTTCAAGGAGGTCATGGGCGCTCTTGGCCAGTACGTCAACATCAAGGACAGCGAGGAGGCTCTTGCTCTCCGCTCCTCCGTCTGCGACTCCATGGGCCGCATTGCCGACGCCGTCGGTGCCCAGGAGTTCCAGCCCTACGTCATGGACCTGATGAAGGCCAGCGAGGAGGCTCTCAGCCTCGACAACGCCCGTCTCAAGGAGACCAGCTTCATCCTCTGGGCTTCTCTGTCCAAGGTCTACGGCAACGAGTTCTCTCACTTCCTCCCCGGTGTCTTCAAGGGTCTCTTCGACTGCCTTGAGCTCGACGAGGAGGATGTCAACATCCCTGGCCTCAAGCCTGAGGATCTCCCCGAGGGTCTTCTCATTGCCAACGGCAAGAAGATCCGTGTCAAGTCTACCGAGGACGAGATGGAGGACGACGATGAGGATGAGTGGGATGATATGGACGACTACTCTGGTGTCACCGCTGTCGCCCTTGAGCAGGAGATTGCTCTTGAGGTCCTCGGCGACGTCATCACCCACTCTTGCGACGCCAACGCCATCAAGGAGTACCTTGACAAGGCTGTGGAGCGCATCGCCCCCCTTGCCGAGCACCCCTACGACGGTGCCCGCAAGGCTGCCATCTCTACCCTCTGGCGCTCGTACGCCCGCGTTTGGCAACTCTTCGAGGAGCAGACCGGTGCCAAGTGGGAGGCCGGCATTCCTCTTAAACAGCAGCCCGATGCCGTCCTGGTCAAGCTTGGCGAGCTCGTCGTCAAGTCTACCAACAACATCTGGGCTGAGGACACTGAGCGGTATGTATTCTGTCATTTCTTAAATTCTGTCTTGAAATTCCCCCGCCCCAAAAGGATGAGTAACACACGTTATACCCAGCTCACTCAGACGCACAAAGTGCGGGTGCTGAGAACACGTTTGATCACGTCTGATTCAATGGGCAATCTCCTACTTTCATCAGCCAAGCCTGTAATGACAATGATTGCTAACGAATTCATAGTGATGTCATCACCGAGATCAACCGCAACATCGCCGCTACCCTCAAGGCTTGCGGTCCTGCCATCCTCACCCACGATGACCTGCTCAAGGACTCCGTTACTGTCCTTGGCTGCCTGATCACCCGCTCCCACCCCTGCCAGCAGGACATGGGCGACGAGGAGGAGCAGGAGGCCGAGGGCTCTTCCGAGCTCGACTGGCTTGTTATTGACACCGCCATGGATGTCATCCTCGGCCTCGCCACCGCCCTCGGCCCCGACTTCGCCGAGATGTGGAAGGTCTTCGAGAAGCCCATCCTCAAGTTCGCCAGCTCCCAGGAGAACCTCGAGCGCTCCACCTCCGTCGGTGTCATCGCCGAGGCCATCAAGTACATGGGCAACGCCGTCACCCCCTTCACCGACGGCCTCCTCCCCATCCTCAACCACCGCCTCACCGACTCCGACCCTCTGGCTAAGTCCAACGCCGCCTACGCCACCGGCCAGCTCATCTTCAACTCCACCGGCACCGACAAGACCATCCCCCACTACCCCGCCATCCTCCAGAAGCTCGAGCCCCTCCTGTCGATCCAGGAGTCTCGCATGGTTGACAACGTCTCCGGCTGCATCTGCCGCATGATCATGACCAACCCCAACCCCGAGTTCGTCGAGCGCGTCCTCCCCGCCGTCGTCGGCGTCCTGCCCCTCAAGGAGGACTTCGAGGAGAACGCCCCCATCTACCAGGCCATCTACAAGCTGTACGACCAGCAGAACCCCACGGTTCAGCAGCTCACCAACAAGATCATCCCCGTGCTGCAGACCGTCCTCGGCCCCCCTGAGGAGCAGTTGGAGCCCGAGACCCGCCAGTTGGTGCAGAAGCTTGCTCAGGCGCTTCAGTAAGCGAAGGTTACAAAAAAAGTAGGGATGGACAAAATGGAGTTTGGTGCCCCCGGAAAAAAGGAAGGGCTGTTAATGAGTGATGAGTGGACGAGACCCCATTTCTTGATGTCTGTAGATAGGTACATAGACTGCCAGGACATACTGCCTGGATGATTCCCGATACTATCAACGATTTTCTTTTTTCAAATTCTAAGTGCCAGTCCACGGCATAACCCGCAATGTTCTGATGACCACAGCTGTCCTCTGCTGGTAAGTGTAGCCTATGGCTCATAGTCATCTACCTCGCAACCCTTGCGGACCCAACAAAATCTGCATAGAGTTCTTGTGCCGCCGCGTCGTCCCTCAGCGACCACCCGCGATGTCACCATCGTCTTCCACTACTTCTGACGCTTGATCGAGCGCAATATGGCATGCATGACCGCGACGATCGAGGGTATCATTCGCGAGTGGCTCGGTCACCTCGGTGAGGCGAATTTGTCCGAACGGCAGCAACTTCTGGACACTGTTCTTCAGACCTGTGACTCAAAGCCATCTCTAGGCGGATGGCGTCGCCAGCTACAGCTCAAAGTACTGAACAACGCTGTATCTAGGTGCTCGCTCTTGGTGATGGACATTGCTCTTCTCAAGGACCTTGACGCGAAATTGAGGGATCCAACCCAAAGTATTCGAGCTTTCAGAGAGTTCACGAACTGCCTAATGTTCGTGGAACAGATCGTGTGGTGGTGGTATTAGCTGTTGTCTCGCTCATCCAACGTACGTGTCTTTAGCTAGAAGTTCGCAGATTCCGAGACTTACGACCCGTATTGGGGCGACGTTGCTGAGAATCGGGGCTTTCGAGTGCCAGAAGCTGATGAATCTTGCATTCAAGAGCTCGTTTAGATGACACGGGACGCTGCCAATAGAACGACCTGCGCGACTTTCAACGTCTGATTCTGCGGGTTGGTGGTTGTCTGTGGCGGAGTTTGCGGAGACGCCCATATTACTATGTACAGTATGTAGAGTTTTGGTAAGCATCATCACCCACATAGCACGCAAGGGACCTATGCGATGGAAGATAGTTCTCAGAGGTGGTTCACATTGACTTTCCTCTAGGTTTCAGCGATCCAAGGGCCGTTTCTGTCGTCGTCGTTGTCCCTGTCATTGTCCGCCCGCATTGGATTATTCGTAGGTGTTCGTGGAATACCTCGCGGATGAGGCCATCTCGTCGACAAGCTCTTGGACGAGTGACTCACTATCGTTCTCAACTCGAAAGCTGAAATTCTCGTCGTCGTCGGTCCAGTGCGGGTCGTAAATGCCCGGGTCAGCAGCTCCACCCAAGCGCAGAATCCTGAGAGCAACCCATTGAAGTTGCAACGCGTCCCAGTCAGGAAGCTCATCCGGGTTCTTTGCCCAGATCCTGATGATACATTCATCAGCAACTGGACGTCCTGAAAATGTATAGTGCTGCGACGTAAAGTTATCGTCGGGTGCTTGTATGTCGCATGGATTGGTGTCGAGAGGGGGGGTTTTCGCGTCAAGCTTGGTCAAGGTCGTGGCAGGCAGCCAATGGAACCGGAGCACGATGCCGTGCTCGTACCTATCGTCCATGTCCTGCTTGAGAAGCGGTTGTCCCTTGCCGAAGGTGTCAGGCGTTTTGCCCTTCTCATCTGTCCGCCGGTTTTTGACATCGTGGTCAAGGTCCATGTCGACTTGGCTTGACCTCTTGCTGGGAACATAGTGAGTTATAACTGGTTCCGTGTCGGAGGCGGAGGTGAACATCGACGACAGCTTCTCATCGGTTTCCTCGTCCTCTCGACTGGTGCCATCAAGGTTGAGTTCGCTGAGCTTCATGTCTAGGGCTTCCCAAGAGTCCCCAGAACCCTTCAGCCTTCGGCAGTGGCCCACGGGCTCTAGAGCAAGAAGTCCCTTCTCCCAGAACCGATGCAACTCCGGACTAAGGCAGAGCATGTTGGAACATTTGTCCACGATGTTGTTCTCGCCTGGTGCCGTGTTATCCGCGTTTCTGGAAGTGAAGCTTGAACGAAACCGGGGACCGGTGCCTTCACCAAAGAGAAGTTCCATGGTCGATAGCAGCTTCCGGACCATCGTTGGCCTGTCCAACGTGCAGAAGGGCACGATGTGGCACACTTCGCAGGTAGCCCTTGTGAACAAACAGCGGCCTCCGTCACGGTCTAGAGCCTGTAAAATGGTTAACCTTTTGTAATCGACATGCTGTCGTCAGACTTCTACCTACCTTCTGCCTTTCGACCTCGTTGCGACCGTGTTGGTACTCTCTTGACTCCGTTGGTCCTTTTGATACTGCACATATTTAGTCCATAGCCATAAGTTCATGCAAAGGAATTGACGTCACTCACGCCACCAAACTAGCTCATGTATGTTTATGAGCAGGTCGAGAAATTGGCTGAATGTGGCGACCTTGGAACTCGGATTCTGCAGTTTCTGATCTAGTCCCTTCAACAGGTCAAGGTCCATCGCCAGCAGCGTACACCATCCTTTCGCTTGGCCCAATAACCTGATATCATCTTCAAAGCGAACACCTGCGAGGTTCAGGTCCGATAGACACGTCTGCAAGGTCCTCTGGACAAGCTCCTGCCGTTCAATTAGGTCTTCTTTGTCGAATCGATCTAATCTTCCACGCATGATGTCGTCGATGGTGTCCGTGACGATCCCCAACTTGTGTGTCGGAATAAGCCCTCAATATCGCGGAGCACTGGACGATAGAAACGGTGGCACAATTGTAGTTACTTCTGATGGATGCACTTGATGGCTTTCTCAGTAATGAGTGTAGTAGCACCTTTGTGTGTACTACCTCTTGGGTCATTCCTAGCAGGGTTGCTTGGTCTCCTTTTCCATACTCGTACCATATTGCATACATGGAGTTTTGCTAGCCGGGCAGTGTCTATTATCATCGTTCATCGTCGTCGTCCTTCGTTGTTATCCTTATCACTGCCCCTATCGTTTTCTTAACTACTGTCGTCCTTATACGAATAGAAGTATCAGGTACGCTACTTAAAGTCATAGGGTACACTGCTGGGGTAGCCAACTGACACTGCCTGGCTGACAAACCTCTACATAATGTACACAAAAACATGGGCGTCCCCGCTTGTGAGATTGTGTGTTTACTAGGTAATCCGACCTTGATGGTGGTTTAGCAAGGCCGTATCTCCGAACGCCTCCATATCCTTTAAAAGTGGCCTGCCAAGTACAGAGGGGAAAATTCCTGCAAGTTTCGTAAACCCTTCGATAAGATTTTCAATTCTCGCAAGTTAGGGTAGCTGCAGCATCGCAACATGGGCGTCACTAACGAACCTCCCGAGAGCATTCAAGGCGTCCGGATCGACTATGTTGATGACGACTTAACAGAACGGCAGCGACTGATCAAAAATGTCCTCGGTTTCTGCAAATCAGATCCGAGTCTTGATGGAAGGCGGTTCGAGCGTGCCTTGAAGTTGCTGGAGCAGGCGGTGAGTTGGTGTACGCTCATGGCCATGGACATAAAGTACCTTAGGCGCCTCAATGAGCGTCTTCACAATCCTAGCACCATGTGTGATGCTTACAGTGATTTATTCAATTGTCTGAAGGGCGTCGGAGAGTTAGTGTATTGGTGTAAGTTGCTTTTCGCGAAATCTCACAAGCGTATGCTCACATTTCTTCAGTTGCCAGAGACCCGACTGAGCCGTGGAATCAAGGTCGCGTTGTTATTCGCAACGAAGCTGAGAACAAGAAGGTTCTGTATCTTCCTGAAGACGATGACATACTGTAGCTAACCGCTCTTCAGGCCATCATGCGTGACCAAGGTCTCTGTGTGACAACGCACAGTCCGGCTGACGAGGCCTGTCATATTGTGCCACTTTGGACACTCAAATGGCTCTACTCAATGGACAGATTTGTATCTGCCTGGCGGATCCTATTTGAATATGGTACTACTTGCTATATTGAGGATAGATTTATGTCTGAGGTTAGAGACCGGGAGAACAGAGTTGCGGAACAGAACATCGTGGACAAGTGTTGTAACATGATATGCCTCAGCGGGCAGATGCGTCGGTGTTGGGAAAAGGGACTGTTTACCTTTGAGCCCGTGGGTTACTGCCGGCGAAGCAAGGGTGCTGGAGAGGTCTGTGAGCTTTCTCCAATGCTCTCCTCAACCAGCATCTCCGACTCAACTGCAACGACAGCGCATGCCGATAGCATGCCACCGACTCAAGAGGCCACTGTCAAGGCCAGGACGCCAGACGCGAACGATGAAGAGGCGTCAGATCTTTTCAACGAGGGACGAATACTACAGGAGAGTGATGTGGATCCTGGCAAAGAGTACGGAATCGTCCTTCGTGTTCGATGGCTTCTCAAAACGACGACCTTATCAAGCTTGATGGACTCGGCACCTCCCCTGGATACTGAACCGCAAGACCTACAAGAATCTTGGGAGGAGCTTTACGAAGAGTTGGAAGGCCTTTCAGTCCTTCCCAAGAATGGCGAGCTAATTCGGATCTGGGCCCAAGACCCCCAAGAGCTTCCCAACTGGACAGCTCTGGAGCTGCGATGGACCGCACTCCGAATTCATTGCCTTTCTGGGAGAGCCAACCCTGAGAAGTATAACCCGGGTTTTAGTGACGTTGATGAACAGTTCTGGATAGACATGGCGGATTATCTTTACGTCAAGGACAACAAAGTTGCTTTCGAGCAGCTTCAGGCTAGGATGGATGCCTATGTATATCCAGATTGAGGCGCGCGCGACTGTGACCATCATGAAGCGAGAGTTGGACGGCGCAACAGGTGGCGGTATGTCGGTTTCGACGATGAGATCGCAAGAGAAAGGTCATTGGCAGTCTAGTCTCTAGTCTAGAATCCAATACACAGGGTGCCCCATCATGTAAGTTCTATTCACTCTGCATCAATTGCTGTTCGTCGACCTTGTCAGAACTTTCGCTACCTAGGGTTTGGTGAAGAGCCTGTTCCGTGATGCACCCTACAGCTCTCAAATGGCCACCTTGAATCAACAGTACTGCTACATGAGAAATTTGACGCAGAAAAGTCACCCTGTTGCGAATCATAACGGTCTCTCTGAAGAGTCGACGTTCAGGACCATATCGACTTCCATGAGGTCAACTTGCACATTCCCGATAACATACAACACAGCATCATACGGGTTAGCATGCAACAGACAACATCATTGAAGCTCAAAGCATTAAAGCTAGCTCAGATAATATGCCTTGATCTCAGGCACAGCAACAGCAAAAGCCTTCTAGTTACGTCAGGTCTCCGCTGTCAGCGACTTGCTTGCTGAACAGCTAGCTTCATCGATGAGCCGCTGCTCACTCTCCTCAGCCTCACTGAAATTGTGCAAGGGAAACCAGTCATGGGTAGACCTGCAGAACGACACAGCACTCAGCCCCCAATTCGTGGGCTAGTAGGGAGAAATTGGACTCAGCCACCGTAGACATCCAATTACCCATTTGGGTATTCTTACTTGAATAGTCCAATCACATAGCAGTCTCGCTAACGTTCATTATCCGCTTTTGGAAGGTGATCCTTCTGCGACCGTTTCCTTGGCAGCCATGCATCGCCCGCACGTCAATTGTCCAACGAGGCAAGCGATAGAACATGACTGAGCCAAAGGCAGTTAGATTTGTTGGTACACAAGGTAAGCTTCGGGCGCACAACAATTATCATGACGTCTGACTAAGATGCACAATGGCATATAAGAGCGAGCATTGTTGGAGATAAATCAATCAGTACAATTCAATTCATCATAAGCTTCTCAATAGATCGACCGAACCGATTCTTCGAAACTACACTTCAAATGCATTCCACTGCGTTTCTCGGTCTGCTGGCTTCAGTTGCAACCGCAGCGGCAGCAACCATTCCATCTGATGAGGTTCCTCTCATCGGTCCTTCATTTCTTTCCAACTTTGACCCGACGAATGCTCGGTCTGTCCTCAACGCCACCGAATCTTTCCCCGCCATAATCGATACTCTCTTTGAGAGCGATGTCCTCAACAAGACGGACCTCGTGTTCACCGTTGACGTGTTCTCGGCCGCAACCAATAAGTCTCTCTATAGCTACTTCCACGCTGGAGATGAGGGAAAGCAGGGCTTGACGGCCGGGGTACTCAACGACCAGACTATTGGGCGTATCGGCAGTGTGAGCAAGCTCTTCACTGTCTATGCCATCATTGCCAAAGCCGGAATTGAGGTGTTCAGTCACCCGGTGACGAAATACCTTCCTGAGCTTTTGGGCAACTCATCGGGCGATCCTCTCAAACATGTCCGCTGGGAGGATATCACTGTCGGGGCGTTGGCGTCACAGCAAGCGGGTTCTGGTGGAGCATCAAGTAGGCAATCTCTTGGGTCTGAGCGCGACTGTTACTGACTTGTGAATCAGATCTTTTGAATAAAACAACGATTGAAGAGCTTGCTGCCATCACTCCTGAAGGTATGACAGCTTACATGCCAGCGGCTCTCACATCGACTGACTTCTGTAGATCTCTTCACGTACATGCGTGACAACAAGAGACCAGTCGTTTCGCCCTTCCGGAATGCCGTCTACTCCGATTCAGGTTTCGCTCTGCTCGGTCAAATTCTCGCCCGTCTCTCAAACCAGACTTACGAGGATGCTGTCCGAGATATCCTAACCAGCCCTCTGGGACTCAACAGCACAACCACTAGCGTACCCAAGGGTGCTGACGTCAACGCCATCAATCGTGCGCTTTTCACCGATGTGACGTCCTATGGCCTTGACGTCCCTATAGTCTACCCATCCGGCGGAATTTACTCCAACGCCGCCGACCTTCGTACTCTTGGTCTCTCCATCCTCAACTCAGAGCTGCTTTCGCCAGCCATGACCTCGCAGTGGATGAAGCCTCTTAGTGGGACCGGCACTCTTGTCGAGCTTGTCGGTGCACCCTGGGAGATCACCCGTCTCGCGATCCCTGCCACGCCGGGATCGAACCGCACCCGCATCTCTGATTTGTACATCAAAGCCGGCGGGAATGGTGATTATGGATGCATTTTTGCGCTCTCTCCCGACCATGGCATTGGATTCTCAATCTTGGTGGCTGGTATTACCTCCGGCGCTGCTCGCTGGGTGATTCGCGACACAATTGGCGAGTTGTTTATCCCAGCAGCCGAGGCCGCTGCCGCCGAGAATGCGAAACAGAATATTGCTGGTATTTTTGAGACTCCAGATGGAAGAAACATCACTCTTACCATTGACGACGGTCACCCGGGCTTAGGCATCCAATCAGCCTCATTGGAGTCGCTAGCTGGGGGCTCAATGCGTCTCTACCCATCTGGCACATACTCAAGTTCAAGGTCTCTCTTCGCTCTGTACAACACTAAGGGCACCTTCAGAGCCGCGCTTCGTGGGATTATGTATGGAGTTCCTATTCCGGCCCGAGCTGCATCAGAAGGCGGTACTGGCGGGTTGTTCGATAACCAGCACTCTTGGATGGACATCGGTTTTGTTGATGGTGAGGATGAATTTATCTTGACCATTGAGGAAGGAAAAGCAATCAGTGTGGAAGCCACCATCGAAGGCGAGCAGGTGACATTTGAGAGACTTGAGTGAAAACTCTCCACTCATTGTATGCAAGATATTGGTATATATATCGTCATGTTTGCTACACAAGTTAGCATATGAACTTTTATAAAGAGCTGGTCTGCGCGATCTCTGATATTCACTCCTTGAGCGCTCCTGTAGACCAACTCTCATTGTCACGACGGAACGACCGAAGTGTTTTCTAGAAACCGTGAACTTGAAATGGGCAGCTACATGTTCTGAATTTATCTATTGCTTCTCAATATCCCAGACAGCTTTAATCTGAGATGTATTATTTAGACCATGTAGCTAGTCACTTTCAACGATAGAAAAGAGGTGGTATTTACGAAACCCATTGGTAATATCAGCATGATTTGTAACAGATGATTTGTCATGTTCGAGCCTTGATTGCCCAAGCGAGCAGCCATAGGTAGTGCTCATCCCATCTCTTCTTTAGGATACCCACTACGGACTACTCCGGCTCTCCATGGTCGAAGCTTGGCGTTTGAATATGGATTCCTAAAGTGGTCCTCGGAAATATCAATCATTGGCTGCACTGCGCTTGCTACTCGGTAATATCAGTGATTGGATGGATTACTGAACATGTAAGGCCATCTGCATTCACTGCTCTTCGCGAAACAAACGCGTGGGTCTATCCTCCTAATGGACCTTTTTGAACATGACGTTGAAGATAACGTTGAAATCGTGTGCTATTATGGTGGAGAGTATAGTATAAATACAAATACACAAGTACGAAAGTTTGAAATTCAGTCCCAGCGGGACATCGAACGACAAAGCGATACTTCGCGTCAACATATGCGCCAGTTAAGGCGGTTTTTCTTTGCCAGTTGCAGGCTTACTTGATCTATTTTCTATCTTCCAGTACCTCCAGTACCTCCATACCGGCCACATGCCCAAAATGGACCAGGGCCAGCCCCGGCTACTTCAACAGAGATATGGACATCGACCATCAGATGGCATGAGCAACCCGGCGTGGTCTCCTACCTTGAATCTTCTTCTTAGCCACGCATCCGTCCGCTCCTACCTCCCAGACGCGCTCCCCGATGGCACTCTCGAAAGTCTCATTGCAGCTGGCCAGAGCGCATCCACCTCTTCGATGCTCCAAACCTGGAGCGCAGTTGCCATAACCGACCCAGTCCGCAAGACCCAGGTTGCAACTCTTGCCGGCGATCAAGACTTCATCCGTCAGGCACCTTTATTCATTCTTTTCTGCGCCGATCTCAACCGCCTCGCAAACAACTCCAAGCGTCTGCAAAAACCGAGCCCTGCACTGGAGAAAATGGACATGTTCGTCATGGCGACTATTGACGCAGCCTTGGCAGCCCAGAACATGGCCATTGCGGCTGAGTCACTGGATCTCGGCATGTGCTACGTAGGAGCTGCTCGAAACAATGCGGCTCAACTCACGGAGCTCTTAGAGCTTCCACCTCGTGTTATTGCCCTATTTGGCATGACTGTCGGAAAGCCTGATCAAAATTACTTGAACACGATCAAGCCCAGATTGCCTTTGAACGAGGTACTTCATAGGGAGGTTTGGAATGCCGAAGGCCAAGAGGAGCGGGTTTCTTCTTATGATGAGACACTTGGGTCCTTCTACGAGCGCCAAAATAAACTCAATAGAGGATTCTGGAGTGAACACACATCTAAATTTATAGAAACAGACAGATTGGATGGTAGAGAACATCTAAGGGACGTTCTAGATGAGCAAAGGTTTGGGTTTTCCTAATGGAAATGCTGAACTCAATGTAAAGGCAGTTGAGGCTATCAAAGACTACTAATGCAGCCCATGGTTTGATCCATCTGTTGAATATGTACATGAGCATCAAAATAAACTCAGAGCTGGCTAATAAACGTACCATCTTTGTTGCACATATCTTGTTTGCGCATCTGACCGTCCGAAGCTCTATTTGAATGACTGGTCCACCACAGACGAGTTTGCTGTTGACCGGAGCAAAAGGTCTTCAGAGTTTGGTGGTTTCTTTGATGACCTTGATCGTTCTTCATGATGTAACATACTGGAACGATTCGTGGTCTTTGAAAACATGCGCCTCCAGAGTTGACTTGCGCTAGGCATACATGCCACAAACACTCCTACATCGAGTTCCGCCAGCGACCAGACATACACCCACAGCGCTTCGGCTGCAGTTAAGAATCTTAGTTATAATCGCGATCCTGAGTGGGAAGACGCTGCTTACATGTGATGTTGTTTGTAGTAGCAAAGTGAGCCACAACCTGAATTCTAAGGGCACTGACTGCAGTGAGACTGTAGGCGTGGTGAGCGACGATGCAATACTCCGGGGCTGATTTTCACTTACAAAAACCCCACGCTAAACATCATAATCACTCCAACCTTCTTCTTCAATCCCAATTTCAATTTGTACAGTTGCGTGAGCGGCAGGATGAGCATCCAGATGTCCAAAGCAATGTTGAAGCCGACGTGTGTCAGAACCAGCAGGTTGAAATCCATGCAAACGCCCGGCTGATCCCCAGACCAACCCAGCCAATATTTCTGCAATGGACGGCATTGAGAGAAGGTGAGAATGATGTATAAGAAGAAGATCAAGGCGTTGAAGCCTTGCGTGGCCCACAAGAGACGTCGGAAAGGAAGGGACGGGAATACCCGAAGATAGAAAAACAACATAGAGGCTTTAATAGTGGCCAAGCCGGTAATGTAGAATATTTGGGTAGTGAAAACCAGCTGCAAGACTTTAGCGTTGAGCATGGAAGCATGAAGGGTTCGGGTGCCATCGTACTTTGAGGAATTCGGTAATCTTGTAAGGTTGGAGAGTCCAGATGTCTCTACCAAGTCCGAGGGCCAGCACTGCCAAGATTGTCAGCTGCGGACATGAATGAAAAGGTTATTTTGTTCTACTCACGTCGATAGACGATGGGAATCATTGCTGTTGCACATGCCTGCAAGGTATTGGTCTCGTGAGCGACACTGACGAATGAGTACGGATCACTTACGAAACCAGCCAAAGCGCAAGCGTCATCAGCACCCCAGGGAGTAGGGCTTATGGCTTTGTTCAAAAACCGAATGGATATAAAAGTGACGGGCAAAATGAAGAGAAATCCTGTAAGGTATCGCGGTATAGCCGTATTATCTGTCAACGGAAAGCCGCAGTCCGCCCAAGTCATGTTTGCGACATCTAGATTGATGGTGAGAAAGTGAATTTCATGAGTGTTGTCAAGCAATTCTCTTACTGAGAGCTTCGCTGACGGTGCAGCCTTGCTTCACACAACCTGATACTTCCTCGTTGAAGACAGGATCGGCACAGAGGCAGGTCTGGTTTAACCCTGAACATGGCGACTGAGGCAGCGCATCAATAATACAGGCCACCTGTATATCAGAATTTAGTGATCTTCTAGTCAAAATGGAGAGGATTGGGGTGTGAAAGACATACTGCGCATGGAGGGTAGTCCGAAATACTTGGGCTGGCACCGGCTAGGATCGCAAAGCAGCCCACCAGGATGGCGAACAAACGAGGGGACCTCATTCTCGTCTGTGCTTATTTCTGTTTTGCCGTCGTTTGCTGTTCTAGGAAAGAAGGTTTTGAGACCAAGCAACAAATAACAGCGGATGAGAATTTGAGAGTGGATGGCCGGCCGTACGAACACCGTGAATGTCCACTTCCCTGGGGCCTGATGATAAAGGATTGGTCTTCGGCTACAGCTAACAGTAAATATGAGCTGGATTTTAGAATGTGGCAATTTTCTCGTACGACTATGAGAGCTTTCCCCTATTCTTTCTCTTTGTTTTCTCTCGTTGGTGAAATGCCGATGAATGCTCGACGATCGCAGCGCGCGCAGCTGTTCGCAAACGGAAAGACATGCGGACGGTTCTAAGGAAGCTCAGCCATGTGGCTGCCACGGATCATCGCTGGGAGTCTATAAAAGCCATGCCGCCCTTCATGACGAAAAATTTGCCTCCCCAGCACGTGGGCTTTGAATCTCGAACCGGTAAACCTCTTTCAATACCAAACCGGCGCCGACCGTCTTTTACTGGCTGGCTGCCGCACTCAGCGCCACCTTCGCCCATGGAATGCTAAGGGTCTGATCGGTATGATTTTCGTGTTTTAGAGACTCTGCTAAGGGCTACTTCGCTAGCGCTATATGTAGCGTATATATCACGCTAGGTCACTATTAGCCTAGATTATTACTATAATATAAACAGTAAGTGTTTTACTAACCCCTTAATACTTCTAAGAGGCTGAGATTATTTAAAAATAGCTTTAGCTTACTTAAATATATTATTTTTAATATTAAAAACCTCTATCTTTCATTATATTAATTATCTACCTTATAATCTACTTTATATTTAAAATAGTAGCTAATAGATAATACTTTAATAAGACCCTACTTAGTATATAAGTAGAAGAAGTAATCCTAGATAAGATTAAAGTTACTATATTATTAAGTAACTCTAAAGAGGACTAAAGCCCCTTACTAACGCTACCTCTACCCTTAATAAGTTAACTAATAATACCTAAGCTTCACTAGAAGCTTATAGCATAGCAGAAGTTACTCTAGCTTATTCTTAACGCTAAGATTAAAAGCTTACTAAGTAATAATAACAAGACATATATACTAAGCTATATATTTACTTTTATTATACCTATCTTATAGAGAGAGTTTTCTAGAAACCCCTTTATAGTTAAAAACCTATTAATAAAGTTCTAAAATACTAACACTCTATACTATAAAGTTAAAGTACTAAGAAACCTATCTAGCATTAGCTATAATAACTATATAAGTATAATATTAACATTAGAGGAGAGATAGTTATAGTAGTATTAAGTTAACTTTAGGTATAAATAAGTAGAGGACTATAACTTCCTTAAAATAGAGTTATTAATAGTATACTTATAGCCCTCTAAGACTACTATAAACTAGAATATCACTAAACTTAATCCTAGAGGTTAGTTAGTATACTAATTAAGATTTTTTAAAAAAGAAGTAAGATCTCTAGTAAAGTAGTTAGCCTTACTACTACTTAATATAAATAGCTTACTTCTCTCATAAACTATAATAATATTAAGAATAGCTAATCTTATAGTAGCATAAGTGCTAACTATTACTTTAACTTAAAGGTATAAATATATAACGTAGTAGTAAGATCCTAATTAAATTAATATTACTAATATAGCTATCTTAGAAGTAATATTTCTAAAGGAAAATTTAGTAGCCCTACTACTAGCATATTAAAATAAATACCCTCACGTCAAGGCAATAGAGACCTAAGGTTATAAGTTATAGAGGATAAGTATTAATAAGCTAGCGCTACATATAGTAGAGGTAGATAACATAAGGCTAGTAATAGCTAACATTTAGTAGCTATTTAAAATTAAAGTTAAGTTAAAAAACTTTACCTTTATATTAAACCTCTTTTTAATAGCACTAAGTAAGGTAGTTAGGTTTCTAGCATTAGAAGAGAAAGAGTTAAAATAGGAGTTTTTACTAATTAATAGCATATAGACGTTAATACTACTACTACTACTACTATAGCATTAATATAGTTATAGAAAGTTAATATAGTTATAATAAGTAGTTAATAAGTTAAAAAAATAAAGCCTAATAGGTAGACTAGAGAAGTAATAAGAAGGTCTTTTTTCAGCCTTAATTAAAATAGCATTTTTTAAATAAATTACTACTTAGATTAATATAATATAAATTTAGCTTATTAATTACTAAAAACTTATCCTTATAAAGTATTAATAGTAAAACTCCTACTATAATATAGTAATATTAAATTATACCTCAAACCCTAGTTATTAACCTACCTATATTACTGCCTTTATTTTAGCCCTCTTAAGTATATTAATCTCTTATAGCGTTAACCCTCTTAGCGCTTCTTCTTTTTTTACTAGAAAATTCTATAATATTATTACTATATATATTAACTTTACTTAGATACTAAAGTTATACTTATATACTATACCTCTTATAATCTTAAACTTCCTCTTTAATAACCTAAAGATACGCTTAATAATACTATAAAGCTTTATATAGCTAAGATTATATAGCTCTTTCCTTATCTATAGCTACTACTAGAAATTAAGGTAGTTATATAAGTAATACTACTTACTAATAAATAGAGTAATAACCCCTAGGTACCTCTTACTAAAGCTTATATTACTTAAGTAAAATCTACCTAGCAGTAAAGTAAACAACCTCGCTAAAGTATATAAAAACAGGGATTTATTATTTATACTACCCTCTATACTAATAAGTATATATATAAAGGTATAGTTAAATCTTACTACTATAAAGATATTCTATAAGAGATTCCCTTTCTTATTAAAAAACTAATATTACTAACTTTAAAGTATATAGGTAGATAGAAGGGTGCTATTAATTACTCTTATATAGCTATTAAACGCCTAATTTTTTAGCTCTAACTTAATCTCTATTAAGATATTATCTTCTATTAATTAAACTACTATTTCTTTATATAGCTTTATAAGTATATTAAGTATAATATAGAAGATATTTAATATTATACTCTAAGTAACTTTAAAGTAGTAAGAAGTATTCCTCTAAAGCTCTCTAAAGTCTATAATATATAAAAAGATTATTAACTTATACTCTACGCTCTAGAACTTTAAGTTTTTAATACTATAAAGTTAAAACTATAAAATTAGCATAAAGAAGGTTAACTTTAATATATAGAAAGTATTAATAAACTCTATATCTAACCTTACTAATAGCCTCTCTATAATCTAAGTTATTACTAAAAAGCTACCTAAGTAGATTAATATCTTATTAAAAATAATAAAAGTCTTATTATTAGAGTTATTATTATTAAAGTTATCATTAATATACTCTTTAAAGATAATTAATAAGATTATAATAAGCTATTATTCTTTATTATTATCATTAAATACTTATTTAAAAGTATTAAAAATATCTATATTAATAGTTACTTCTTTTAATAGTTAAGTTAATAAATAGTATACCTTATTAATATATTAATATACTACTATATAAGTATCTTAAGCTAGAAGAAGCTTTTAGCTAAGCTCTCTCTAGCTATATATAATATTACTATATTATTAAAAACTAATACTCTTATATAATAATAGTCCTAGTATTATTAGATCTATACCTTAGAATCCTTAGTAACTAAACCTCTCTAGGTAGGTTTATTATTAATCTTATTACTTAGCAGCTAAATTTTAGTCTAATATAATAGCTTAGAGGATTAACAACCTTAAAAACCTTTATTAAGCCTAGTTTTAACTTATATAGACCTAATACGGTAAAGTAGCCTCAAAAACACTATTTTTTATTATTTTATACTAACTATAGCGGTGGTGAGCTAGGGTCAGGAATCATACCGATCACACCCTAATGTCGCGACGTTTCTTCTCTCAACTCCTCTAGCTTGAACATAAATTGGGTGGTCTAAGACCACTATGACTGCACAACTGGGATCAACAGGTGCGAGCTTTCCTCACCATCCCCACCGCAGTGAACCACGTGCAAGCCCTTGTTGTCGGTCGAGTGCATCTCCAAACCTGGCAAAGCAAATGGGACAACCGCACTGCCTTTTATCGTAAGCCGAAGATGATCCGCCTTCTATAAAATTCAAGACATTCGTTAGCATACGCTTGTGTCTAGCTTGGGCCGTGCGGTGACTTACCTCCCAGAACATGCCACTAGGGCTCATTAGGATATCGAGAGCTCGCCTTTCACCCTTCTTAAGGCTTATCTTCTCCGTGAATGTGTAATGCGGTTTGTATACCTTGCTGCGCTGTTCATCGCGGCTCAAGGCAAAGCTGCCACGCAGACATCCACTGGGCCCCCGGTGAAAGGCCATACCGGCACCACCAGGAAGGATATTCCAGTCGTGCATGAACTTCAAAAGTCGTTGCAATACAACATTCTGAGGCTTGATCGTCTGCACAGCCTGGGGATGCTTGAGAGCCGACAGCTTCTCAACTTGTACAAAGACATCCATGTCCGTATGCTCCGGACACGACATCACAAGATGTGCGCAAAAATACCCAGTCGTCTCGCAGGCCTTGTCGAATTGGTAGAGGAAAGTCTGCTTTCCAGATTGGGAATCATAGGGCAACGCAGATTCAGCGGCTTCAGGATCGAGTGACAGAGTGTTGTCTTTCTGTAAGAAGAGTTTGGTGTATTGCGTCCTCGCCAGAGGGAATTCAGACTCTGGGCGTCCAACCGTATCCAGTTGGTTCACCAAGCCGAAATGCAGTACGCTGAGACGGACTTTGGGCGTGGCCTCCCAGTCGTTCTTCTGGTCCTTCAAGTAACGGTTGAAGAAGCGGAGCAGGTCTTTCTGGTTGCAATCCTCGTAGTAGTCGGGCCATTCTTGGGAGTTGTGGACTCTGAGCCACTTGGGAACGGTGTCCGGGACGGCTTCCCATGCTTCAAAGGTTCCCGGGGTGTGCACAGGGTTAGTCCATGAAGCAGCAGCATAGACTGGCACGTTGATACGCTCTGGGTGAGCAACCTTGTCCTCCCAATACGCATCGTAGAGCTGATGCTCACGACCGTGAGAGGTGATGTCTTCGAGCTTTCCTTGAGTCGCCAGAGTATCTACAGATCACCTCAGTGAGCAGGTTGCCAACAATGGTATGTACATCAGTTGAAAAGAACCCACTGGAAATTGATTCGTGAAAACCCGGAAACAGAATTCCGCCACTAAACATGTGGTGTCGATAGAAGTCGGAAAAGCCTTCCCTGTTCATGGTCTTAGCTAGATCTGCCCTCTGAGTGCGTAAAAGAAAGCTTACCATGGGGCGAGGGCAGCCAGTCCCGGTGGACGCATACTTCCGATGCGCCATTGAGCTATTGCCAGCCAACTATTCCCAGTCAAAGCTACTTTACCGTTACACCAGGGCTGTTTCGAAACCCAAGTAATGAACGAGGCACCGTCCTGAGCCTCCTGGTGACCCATGATGAGGAGATCGCCTTCGGATGAATACGCACCCCTCGTATCGACGTTGATGACTGCGTAATTTCGCGGGCACCAAAAGTCGGGATCTGGGCCTTCCCATTTCTGCAAGCCGGAGAGGTGCTCTTTGGGGACGCCAGCGCGGAATGGAAAATCGTCCAGCAGCGTTGTGCCCTTTTGCTTTCCGTAGGGACTCCTATTGATGACGATTAATTCCAAAGGCAACAATACAGCACCCGGAAACATACCATGCCACCAGCGCTGGTACCGGATCGGCGTATCTTGAGTCCAGATCTTGGAAACTTGCCGGGAGGAAAATGTCGCTGTAAAGAGTGATGCCGTCATCCAGCTGCATGGGCACGCTTTCATGCATCACCAGGTCCTCACTCAGAGGAAGCGCACCCGGCTCAACTTGCTGTCCGGCCTTGAAATTGCGCTTCTGTTGGCGGAAACCTGGAAATCTCGCCTTCTTGCTGTCGATTGATATGCCATTTTTATATCGGGTAAGACGCAGCGCTTGGTCTTTGATCTCGAGTTGGCGGGCGAGTTCCTTCTCAAACTGTTCTTGGTTCATGGCGAATACGACAATGTGTTGAATTGAAAACGAGACTATAGCGAGAGCACACAATTGTAACTCTGGGAAAAACAAGCGTCGTTGTGAAAGAATATTCCCACCAGCTTAGTACTGCATCGCGTTATTCCTCTTTTAAGTCGCGAATGAAACGAATGATGCGAACGCCTCGGGATGACGTTGGATGTTCAACGTTCAAAGACGGTAACGTAATGGGTAATGTCCATCTCGGGAAAAGGATTCCTCAAAATGGCAGTTGAGCCCGACAGCGAAACACAGGTCGGGGTTTTCTTAGACTCCGCGCCGAGACGCCGCGGTCAAAAGAAAGAAGAAATATAGAGACACAGGAGCCGAAAAAAGTGCCGGGACATATTGTTAAGTTTTGTAAAACAATTGCGTCGAACCGTCTTGCGCCGCAAATTCGTGTGAGTGCCGGGAGACGTCTATCAAATCTATTTAGTTTTCAGGCAACGGGTGTGCCCCGTCACACTTCCTCATAAAGTACTGCGTAATGACCACTGCATGCATGGATCCAGAACAAGTCCTAGGGACACGATTCCCGGAGACTCAATCGGAATTGTTCCCGCACACTCCGATAAAAATTCCCCGAGCCTGGTATCCATGTCCGAATAATGCCAAAAGCGAGCAGATTGGGAAAAATCCGGGGTTCAGCAAGCCCCGAAGAACCGGGTGGCACCGCCCCGTCACTTCGGGCGATGGTCAAGTTGGTTCGAAGAATCCGTTATAAAATCATCACCATCAATATGGGAAAGTTGCAGCCCCGAACTCTATCACAACCTTAAATCACTTAGACCTGCCAAGACCTTCTCGTCATGTCTACCACCAAAAAGCTCAGGGTTGCCGTTCTTGGTCCTAAGGGGCAATGCGGCTCCTGCGTCGTCGACGAGCTCCTGTCTCGCGGCCACTCCGTTGTTGGCCTCTCACGCAATCCGCCCCGCGAGTGGCAGACATCAGGTGACTACAAGGCGGAGTCTGTCGACTTCAACTCCATCAACGAGCTCTCGGCGGCGCTGTCACGCGGTTACGACGCCATTGTGTGCGCGTATGGACCGCCCCTGGGGAACATGCGGGCGATCTACCATGAATGTGTAGAGACGCATGCGAGAATCAAGTCTGCTCTACTCCGATCGAATCATCGAGGTTCTTTCATTGTTATTGGTAGGCTTCCCTGTAAGACATACTTTCATGAGTACCTGTATACTGACTTGGGCTGGGAAATTTGTAGGCGGTGCCGGCTCTTTGCACCACAAAGACGGCTCGTCTTTTGCAGATGAACCCGATTTCCCTTATGGTGCTTGGTATGTTTCTGTTCAGCTGGATTCACGTTCAGCGCGAGATGTTGACCGAATTGCAGGTATAAATGGTCAGACCAGCATCTCGGATACATGATTTCTCGGGCGTCAGACCACGGCAGCACAACACTAGCTGTTTTCTCCCGGATCTTTAGATGGGCGCGCAACAATGTAGAGCATCCTGGATGTGAGATCCCCCCTCACCCGTTCCCCGATCATTATGGCAGGGCTTTTGCTGACGCACTCCAGGGTTCTCCTGGATTCTCCGCCCTTTTGCACGCCTGTTTCTCTCACGCGCACGCAGGTTCATGACGTCTCATGACGCAAAGGGCCTAATCACGGGATCGCGCGTCGCTCTACACCTGTGGGAAGGCGTGACTGAGAAGTCTTGGTCATTTCTGTCGCCTCCGTGGTTGCTGAGAGACAAAGGTGAGCGAGGAAGAAATCTGACATCCGGGGTTTTCCGCTGATTCGACTTACCAGGGATCCGTACTGGGAAGTACGAAGTGTATGTGGACGAGCTTGACAGCCCGGGGTATCAAGCCATCTACGGCGGCATTTACAACGAGGACATGGCCGTAGCCATCGTGGATGAGGTTGAGAACAACAAGTTGGCGTACAAGCACTGGTCTTGTGTCGGACCCATCGGTCTCGGGAAATGGTAACCTCCAGCCGTGGGAACGTCTCGATGGACATGAACTTGATCTACCTGTATACGCTGAGTATTTCGGTTTGGATGAGTTTAGACTCTAATGAGATGGTGCCTCCGGAATCCATTGTGTTTTGACTGCTATGTCCATCTTGAATTGATCCATTTGCCATTAACACAAGATAGAAGAGTCATGTAAGTCGGCTTGACACTCCGTACTACCGACTTCATGAACGGTACGGGGTTGTACATCTACTTGACACAAGATCCATGCTCCTTGTATGCGACATTTCTGCAGCCCTGAGCCTTTGTTCAAAAGGAGAAAGAGAAAAAAAAAAAAGGAAAAAAAAAAAAAAGAAAAAAAAAAAACCAAAAAAAAAAAAAAAAAAAAAAAAACCAACCTCAGCTTGTCGATCCATATGTATCTGCTATGGGTGTTAGAATATTTATTGAATGCCTTCAAATCGTACCCGCCTATCCGTAGACTTCTTCCAGCGCCCGAGAGATTACTTCGCAAACGTGTACGCGTACTTCTGTGCGCCTTGTTTTGTCCAGCAAATCCTCATCCCCCATTTCCGGCAAAATTCTCCAAGGAATGATGCAGCTGTAATTCTTATCCATCGTTGCCATTTTCTCAAACACGGCCATCATCCCTTCTACTCTCTTCAAGTGCCCAGGACGCCGAATACGGGCTCGATTGTCTGGATGGCGAGAAAAGTCTATAATGCGCGCCGCAAGTGCACCTCCGATAACGGCAGAGAATGATGTGCCTGATAATGGAGGGTCTGCATCCAAAGTGATGTTTTCTCCAAGTATGGCAAAATTGTTCCTGCGCTGCTTTGGAGAGGGGTTAAAACTTGGTGAGCTTCGGGCCTTGGCATCTGTTGAAAACATGCAAAACACTTTATTCGCACTGTAAAGACGAGCAGGAAAGGCGATCTTTGTGAGGTTGCCATGATTCGATGCGGCGGCGAAAATGAGAATGCGCTCTGCGTGTGCCGTCTCAATCGCCCTCAACATGTCTTCATGCTCTGCGTGGAAGCCAGATGGAATGATGATAATGTCGACATCCCATATTCCTTTTGCATGTCGAATTGCCTAGTTTGCGTTAACGTTCTTCGAACCATGGCAAATCTTGGTCGAAAGCTGCTTACTCGGGCCATGAGGTCTGCAGTGTTATCACTTGCACGGTCTTTCTCCCAGACGCGGCCAACAAATACCTGGGCCTCGCCGTAAATTCTCTGAAGAAGCTTGAAGGCGCTGGTACCATGTCCTGAAGAATCTTCATAAGGCGTGGTTATGTTGTTGACAAAGTCACGGTAATTTATTACCGAGCCGTTTGAAGTATACGAAGGATTGAGGCCCGTATCCAGGATTGCGATTTTCACGGGACTGTAGCAATCGTCTTTATGTTTTGGTGGGATGCGAGCGATGGCATTAAATATCCCCAATCGCTCAAACCAAAGATCCGTCGAAAGGTCAGAGCTTCTTAGTTCAATCAGATACTTTGCACATTTACGTCTGAGTGGAAAAGTTCAATGTGACTAACCTGTATCCACTGGTGGTGTTAGTTAAGGCTGGCGAAGAACCGCCATGACCTTTTCTAATGAGTTGTTGCTGCCGGAGTGTGCCAGGCTGTGTAGAATGGGCGCGCTCCGTATTCTGTTGTACCACTATTGGTGCCAGTACGGTCTTTTCTGGAGCTCCCCAGTTTGTCTTGTACAGCTTTTCTATTGGGCCCACCACGTTTTGGTGCAGAATACTTCGAACCTTTTCAGTGTCGTTGTGGTACGGCTTGAAAACGTCAGCCTTCAAGCACGTCCAAATGATCTCTTTGAACGGGAAAAAGGTGTCTTTATCCTGCCATCTTGCGTTCTCGAAGGCGTCCATGGCTGCGATGTGATTTGCGTTTACGTAGCCGCTGACTGAACACTCTTTCCGGTTTTGGTAGTAGTCCTCGATCGCGACGCCAAGTTCAATTTCGAGCAGCATGACTCCCAGGGCGAGAATCTTGGGAAACCTGTGAGATATGAACTTCTCATCGCCTCCCTGGGGAACATGGCTTCCTATGTTCGCAGCCAGAAAGGGTTCATTGATGTAAATCCCTGTAGGCTCTTTAGAACGACGTTCAAACATGAAGTGAACAGTGTGCTTGCTCCATCCCTCTTGCATCCAGTCAGATTCGTAGAATTGCCATGCAGCTTTTGCTAACTGGCATGCTAGGAGAAGTCTTAAGCTGCTCCGAAGAGGGTAGTCGATGATTATGTCGGCCAGTGCTACACTTGACGCCTGAAGGCTGAAGTTGGGCGTCAGAGGACCGGACTCTCCCAATCGAAGTTTTGTCCCCTCCAAGAATAGCTTTAGTTGAGAACATTTGCGATTTGAAATGATATTGCAGAAATCTCCATCTGCAATCAATGAATCCGGTGTTTCTGGTCTCGCGTCTTGCGCTGAATCATCGAATTTGACTCTACAATATTATGATGAGAATGACTTTCTTGCGCACATGATTTGATGGAATACCTTGTTTGTCGATGTGATCGGACGCAGATCTGTGTATCCTGCCATTGGCAGCCGGTACCAGGTTCCCTTTTGTGGGGGTGATCCAAGAAGAAAATTCCAAACTCGGCTGTCCCTGAATCATCTTTGCTATACTTGCAGCTATTTAGACGGAGGTTGGTCTTGATCTGGCTCCGCACACCTTGTTGAAAACATTGGCACTTCAAAAGGAGGGCGTCATATAGTAATTTCAGATATGGTTGACAGTCGTCCCGGATGTACTTTTGCTGTGGCTCGATGAAATCAGAGAGGATCACAGGCTCTTCTATGGTTTGAAAAGCTGTCAGGAACTTTATCAGCTTCTCTCTGTCCTTCTTCGCAGGGAAGATGATCGCAAAATCTTCAAATTTTAGTTTTCTCCACTCCTTAGAGACTGCAATCTTTTGGAGGTTCGGGAACCACTTTGGAGTGAATGCATTGTAAGCGCGGAATTCGTTAGAGGAGGGAAGCCTCGGACGTTGTCGTGGCCACTTTTCGTTGCA